GACATAGTTGCTACTTTATTTGCATCACCAGATGAACCTATTGAGCAGCTTCACAGCAGGGTCTTTGCAGCACGGGACAACATGCACGATGCTAAGAATGCAATCTGCATCTACAACTGCATAATTGAAGGTGCCCTTCGTGGGCAACAGTCGTTTGCAGCCAGTGTACCGGCAGACTCGCCGATCCTCCGTGTAGTACTCGATGTAGGCGGCTTTTTTTGCCACGCCATCTTTCACGTAATGGAACAGCATCAAGCAGCGGCCGTACCAGTTGGCCCCTTTGCCAGCTGGATTTATGGCTACATCTGAAAAGTGCCTGTCGGAAGGGCTTGCTTTGACAAACTGGCCCTTCTCGGTCCACTCCATCCTGTCGTGCGGTGGGATTGCCATGGCAGTGTGCACCTGCGAATAGGCAAGCAGGGGTTGCAGCACAACAATGGAAGTTTGTGTTAGGGTTGAGACAATGGGGTGGTGACGGGTGCGTGGATACAACAGGGTGCCATGCCCGGGTTCGGCCCATTAAGGAGGTTGATGGTCCGCGTTTAACAGGTCTACGTGGCAGTGGCAGTTGATTCTCACATTGATTCTCCCGCATTGAGCACCATATTGATTCTCACATTGAGCACTTGGTCGTGAATTCCCTCCCTGGCCAGCCGCTTCTTCAAGTAGCCCATCGCTTCATCTCCGTGAACAAGGACATAGCTCCTGAACACATCATCCGTGATCTGCCCCACGGTCATCTTCTTGTGTGTCTTAGTCAGCACCCGACGCCCAAGCGTGCAAGCCTGGGTAGGAGGGTGATGGGTGCATGGTGTACATGGGGGGCAGCAGGAGAGGGGCAGCACTTGAGTTCAACAGGGGCAGCAGTGAGAGGGAGCAAAGATTAGGGACCAGTCGGTTAGTATAGCGGGGCATTTCCAGAGGTCAAAGGGTGCAGCAAGAGGAGGGAGCATAGGTGGACAAGTGTAGATCAAGGGAGAGCAAAGGAAAGACAAACGGCAGGAGGGAATGGGAAGTAAGAGGGATGGACATGGAGGAGGATGGGGGGGGGGGGGGGGGGGGGGAAACGAGGGGGCGACGTGTTAAGCAGCATGAAGGTATATGGTGGATTAGTAGGGGAGCATTGGGGGCTGAACGACGGATAGTCCCACGGGGGCCGGGGGAGGGGCATGGGTGGTTAAGTGGGAAAGCATGTGGGGCAAGACGGAATGTGAAGGGTGGCAGCTAGTGGAAGGAGCGATGGGTGGACAAGAATGCGAGCATGTAGATGCAAAACGGGATGTCAAGGGGGGCAGCGGTTGAGGCATTTCATGGGTGGACATGATGGTGAGCACGTGCATGCTAGAAGGGATGTCTAGGGGGGCAGCGGGAGGAAGGGAAGAGGCAGGGTCTAAACAAAAACACGAGGTGATGAGGGTTTCATGCGGCAGGAGCAGGCGGGGAACATTGGTGGGCAAGATTGGCCTTAGGTTGTACACAGGCTCACCTCCTTCATGGCTGTCTCGTATGTTTTGTCCCCGCCGGAGGCTCGAGACAGCTGTCGAACAACGGCTTGCTCGATATGCTTCTTCACAATGCGATCCTCCACACCCTTCCAGTTGGTGCCGCGAGAAGGGCGCTTCACTGTTGTCTTGTGGGACTGCTCGTACCGGTTCGACGAGTACTCCTGTGGCAATCCCCGTGCACGGATCGTCGGCGGGAGGTGCGATACAAGATGCACCTTGATAATAAGCCACTTCGACTTCTGGTTGTCGAATGCTAGAACAAGCGCATTGACCATCCTGGATAGGACGTGTTTCGGTGGATTGAAAGGTTCGGGATTGGGGCATTGGGTGTTGGGGATCGGTTTAGCGTGCGTACACATATAAACAACAATTCAGCAACAAACAACAGACAATGCCCAATACCCGGGTTCATGTACTACTACCCTCTCTCAAACCCTCCCCCCTCCTCTCATCTCCCCCCCCCCCCCCCCCCCCACCCACTCACAACTCAGCTTCCATGTTTCTGCCACTCCATTCCCCCACTCTAAGCCCCTCCTCTCGCCATTATGCCCCTCCTTCCCTTTTTCAGCGCATGCGGAACAGTCCACAGCCTATCGTTCCCCCCCCCCCCTCCCCTCTTTCCCTCCCTCGTCCCCTTTCCCTCCCTCGTCCCCTCTTTCCCTCCCTCGTCCCCTCTTTCCCTCCCTCGTCCCCTCTTTCCCTCGCTTTGCCCCCCTTTCCTTATCTTTTTCCTTCTTCCCCCCTTCTATGCACCCTATTTCCCAAACACTGCCTCTTAATCCCTCCCTCGACCCCTTCAGCCATCTCACTGTCCCTTGTTCCCTATGCGCATGGCACCCACACCCATTCACGCTAGACTTACTCGCAGGAGACCTCCTCCATGCGCTCAAGCGTGGCATCGGTGTGATACTCAGCCCGGATAAACTCCTTGTACCAGTCCGACATGATCGTGATGGCATGTCGAATATCGGCGCGCTTAGGGAGGTCGATGATGAGGGGCAGCACTTGCATCATGGCACGGTGCTCCGACGCTGAGAAGCAGGCCGTCGTGGTGAAGTACGCCCATGCGGATGGGAGTCTCAGCAAACACGCCGGAGTCGCTGCCTTGACAATCTTGTAGCGGCTGCACTTCCGGGATGCAATAAGGGTGTCGGTTTAGGGGGTGTGGGGCCGGTGGGGTGGGTTAGGGAGGGGGGCGGGGGAGGGGTGGGGCTAGCGGGGTGGTCTTGTAGTTAGGTGCATTAGATCGCACCTCATCTTCCCCCTGCCTCTCTCTCAGTGAATCCCTTTCCGTCCTCTGCCCCACTCCCCCAGCCTCTATGCCTCATCATTCCTCTCTCTGCCCCTTGTTCCCTCGCTCTGCCCCATGATCACCTCTCTCCGCCCCTCGTTCTCTCTCTTTCTGCCCCAATTTCCCTTCCTCGGTCCCAATTTCTTTCTCCATGCCCCCAATTTCCTCACTCTGCCCCACTTGCCCTCTCCCAGCCGCAATCTCCCTTACTCTCTGCCCAAATTTACCCCTACATTACCCCCATGTGGTCCCTATGCCCCGAATACACTATTCTGAATCCCGCGTTCACCTCACGCGACCTCCCCCCCCCCCCCCCCCCCCCCCTCCTATGCCCCTCCTTCCCGCTAGCAGCCCCACCTTCCTGCTCGCAGCGCCTCCTTCCACCTTTCAGCCCCTCCCTCAACGTCTCTGTCCCAAATTCCCTCTTTCTGCACCACTTCCCCCCTCTCCACCCCGCATTCCTCCAACGCTGCTACAAATTCCCTCACTCTTCCCTCCATGCCTCCTTATGTGCGTATCGTTCCCTCTCAACCCCGCAGTACCTCCTTAGCTCTGTCTCTTTCCTGTGAAACAATGAGAAGAGGAATGAAATGACTAAGTCAGCAATTGGTACAAATAGCAAACCCTAGGAATCTGTACCCCATATGTGCTACCCCACTATAGCCTACAAACATGTATCACCTATAATGTTCTGACACACCCCCATAGGTAAAGTGGGGGAGAACAAGGGGTCACAAGACCAGTCAAGCAAAGCAAAGCAAGCTCAGGGTGGATCACAAAGTCACCACACAGTCCGAGCACAAGAGCAGGGCCAGAGGCCAGTTCACATGCAGGAGTACAGACATATATATAATACTAGACAAGCAAGAGCAGGTATATATATATGTCACAGTACAAGTGAAGTCAGGAAGAGAGCAAGTGAGGCAAGACAGGCACAAGACCCAGCTGGGTACAGAAGCGCTGATGGTCACAAGGCGCAAGTGCCTTGGTGAACACATCAGCAGTGTTGGCCTCAGAGGCCACGTACGCAAGTCGCAGCTGACCACGCTGCTGCAGCTCACGAGCAAGGAAGTAGCGGAGAGCAATGTGCTTCGTTCTGTGCTCCAGACGCTGCTCTCGACACAAGGCAAGCATGGCCTTGTTGTCTACGTACAGCACTGGAGGAGAACGAGGCGGCTCTCCAAGGTCAGTCAGCAGGTAGGTGAGCCAGCGAAGCTCCTGTGCAGCCATGGCCCCGGCGTAGATCTCAGCCTCACAACTAGAGCCGAGAACCGAAGACGAGCGAGTAGACCGCCACGAGACAGAGCCGGAACCAAGGCTGAAGGTGTAACCCTGTGACGACCGCTGCGTAGCCTGGTCGTCAGCCCAAGAAGCGTCCGCGTGGCCGGTAAGGACCACTGGACTCCGCCCTCCAAGCACTAGCCCCATGCCCGACGTACTGCACAGGTAGCGCAATACCCTCTTCGCTGCAGCCATGTGCTCAGGTCGGTGTCTCCCAGGAGCAACATAGCGTGCAAGGATGCTCAGAGGGTATGCAAGGTCAGGTCGTGTGCAGGTCATCAGGTACATGAGGCAACCAACAAGCTCTGCATACGGGCCACTCGACTCTACGGACTCATCCGAAGGCAGAGCTGAGAGCGAGTGGCGAGTAGGCAGAGGAGTGGCCTGAGGCGAGGAGTACGTGAAGCCGAAGCGCTGAAGGACCTGCTGCACCATGTGTGACTGAGTCAGGGTAATGGTGCGGCGTGCTCTGTCCCGAGTGATCTGCAAGCCAAGGTAGCTGCGCAGTTCACCCAGGTCTGTGCACGTGTGTCTCTTCAGCAGCTCGGACTTCACGTAGGCGAGTCCAGCAGTGTCCGCTGTGGCAAAGACCAAGTCGTCGACGTACACGAGGATGTAGAACGGCGGCAAGGAAGTGTCGGTGCGAAGAAACAGCGACGGGTCAGCAGTGGAAGGAGCAAACCCAAGAGCCGCAAGCGTAGTCCTCAGTGTGTCGTGCCACTCACGCGGTGCCTGGCGGAGACCGTAGACTGGCCGTCGGAGGCTCCACTGGGTGCCAGGAGGGAAAGTCCCAGTGAAGCCAGGCGGACGGCGTAGCCAGATCTCCTCGTGCAGGCTACCCTGCAGGAACGCAGTGCTGAAGTCGAGAGAGTGAAGCTCGTAGTCGCGCTGAGCGGCAACGTGCAGCAGCACCCGAAGAGTGGTCATCTTCGGAGTGGGAGAGAAGGTCTGAAAGTAGTCAACTCCCTGCCGCTGACTGAAGCCACGAGCGACGTAACGCGCCTTGAAGACAGGCGGAGAGCCCGGCGGCCGCTTCACCCTGAAGATCCACATACCACTGACGATGTTCGCCCCAGGAGGGGGAACTGCGTCAACGTAGGTGCCTGTGGACTTCCAGGAAGCCATCTCTGCATCCATAGCTGCCTGCCACTGAGAGGAGTAGGGACCCTCTACAGCCTCCGCGTAAGAACGCGGAGTCGGGATGTCTAGTGCATCCGGGTCTCCCTCAGGGGCAAGCAGTACAGACGCGAGATGAGGTGAAGCAGCCGCTAGACACTGTAACTCCTCCTGCCTGTCCTCTAGGACGTCCGTGCCAAGAGCACACTCACCCCCGACGGACGGAGGACAGACAGACGCAGACTCAGCAACAAGACTAGCAGCGTAGTCTAAGCGACAGCGAGCAGCAAAGTCGACAAGCTCAGTGAGTAGGGCAGACGCAGCAGAAGACTCGAAAGAAGGGTCAGTGACCACAGTAGCAAGGAAACGCGTGACAGTAGGACTGGCAGCACGCAGAGAGTCCGACACAGGGTCGGCAAGCGCAGGAAGAGAGGACGCAGGAGGAGAAGGCAAAGGGGCACGCAGAGGAGCAGTGGACGGACGCAAAGACATCTGGTGCGTGCCAGGGACAGGAGGAGGACGCTGACGCGAACCGCGACCAGTAGCGCGAGCAGGACGAACAGGCGACGCAGGACGAGACGCAGGCTCACGACGCTCAGCAAGACCTCCAGTAGGACCAGTGTAAGGAGAGGGAGCAGGTAGCGGAGAGGAAGGCTCCAGCAGGGACTGCGACTGGACAGGCGGTGGACTCTCTACTGGAGGAGAAAGACCAAGAACCTGCTGCAGGAGCGGAACGAAGTACGGTCGAGGCCGCTCAGCAGCTCCAGGCGCAGCAGGGACAGCTCCAGCACCCTCAGCGACAGCACCAGGGCCACCAACTCCTCCAGCAGCAGGACCAACAGCAGCAATCTCAGCACCAACACCCTCAGCAGCTCCAGCTCCAGGAGGACCCGCAGGCCCAGCAGCTCCGGGACCGACAGCACCAGCACCCTCGGCAGTCGAAGAAGGTCCAGGTCCAGCTCCAGCAGCACCCCCAGACTCAGCAGCACGCCTCCAACGGCGAGCGAACCACTCGCGCAGCTCCTGTGGAGAGAGAGGCTTCCGGGGAGGCTGAGCAGTAGGAGAAACCCCAGGCGCAGCAGCTCCAGACGCAGCACCCCCAGGCTCAGCAGCTCCAGACACAGCACCTCCAGGCGCAGCAGCTCCCGACTCAGCACCCCCAGGCGCAGCAGCTCCCAACTCAGCACCCCCAGGCTCAGCAGCTCCAGACCCAGCACCTCCAGTGACAGCACCCCCCGGCGCAGCACCCCTAGGCTCCGCACCCTCCGCACTAGAACCCTCAGGCTCAGGACCCCCAGCAGCAGCTCCTCCAGGCTCAGCACCCCCGCGGACAGCACCCCCAGAGTCAGCACCCCCAGGCTCGGTACCCGCAGCAGCACCAGAGTCACCAGTAACCCCGACCGGGTCAACAGCGTCTACCTGGGATACACCTGAGGGAGCAGGAACCTGAGGGGGAAGGGGGTCTACCGGGAGGGGAACCGGCACAAGGAAGTCCGGGGGAGGGGGGAGGGAAGGAGTGCGGTAGGGGAAGAGACGGTAGAAGGGGACCGACTCGTCGAACGTGACGTCCTGGGAGGACAGAACACGACGAGAGGAGGGGTGGTAGAACTGCCACCCTGGGGCGTCAGTGGGGAAGCCAAGGAAGACACAGGGAGCAGCACGAGGGGACAGCTTGTCCGCAGACAAGTCGCGGACAAACGCCCGAGATCCCCAGACACGAAACACAGACGCATCGCCAACCTTCCCCGTCCACAGTAAGGCTGGGGACATCGCAGGCCGAGAGACCCGCGGGTGAAGGTTGAGCTGATGCGCCGCGTACCTCACCGCAAACGGCCACAGAAAATGGGGGGCAGCCGCATGCATCATGGACGTACGAGCGACATCCATGACCATGCCAATGCGGCGCTCAGCAATCCCATTTTGCTGTGGTGAGTCCGGAAGCGTGAAGGTCTGGCGGATCCCCCGTGCACGACAGTAGTCTCGCAGAAGGCGAGAGGAGAACTCTCCGCCTCTGTCCGAGTGCAGACGCAGAACAGGAAAGTCAGAGCCGAAGTTCTTCCTGAGCTGGAGACGAGCCTCGCGGATCCAGTCGATCAGCACCTCAGTGACAGCACCCTTGCTGCGCAAGGGGAGGACTGTGGTGTAACGCGAGTAGTCGTCAACCACCAACAGGAAGTAGCGCTCGTAACCCTGCCCACGGACGGGGGCCGGGCCCCACACATCCATGTGAAGCGTCTGCAGCGGAGCCTCTGTCGGGGGGAAGTGGGAGGAGTGAGGAGTAGCCCGGAGGCGACCCTCGACACAGGGGACACAGGAAGGCCCTGGCCCGGGGGGGGGAGGAGGGAGAGACCGGGGAAGACCAGAGACAAGGACACGGGAAGCCATGCTCCGAAGACGAGCCAAGGAGGGGTGGCCTAGACGGTGGTGCCACAGGAGAGTCTCGTGAGACAGGAGGCGACAGGAACAGGGGGCAGACTCAGGACCTGGCTGGGACGCAGCAGCAAACACCTGACGTGACGCAGCTACCCGACCAGACACAGGGACAGGAGGAGACGAAGTGGTCAGGGTGTAGAGACTCGACCCCGGCCGACGCGAAAAGGTGGCCAGGTGTCGGCCTGTGTCTGCGTCCGTGCAGTGGGTCACCCGCCGCCTCGCAGGAGTGAACTGGTGAACCCCTGCATTCTGGAGGTCTGCACCACTCACCAAGTTCGTGGAGAACGAGGGAAGGTACAGACCAGACAGGGTGCCCGAAGGGGCAGCCGGACACGGGAGGACAGTGGAGAAGTGAGATAGGACAGGACCCCCAGAGGGGTCAGCAAGGGAGACCGCAACCGGTCGGCCAAGCGGCGTGAGGGTAGTGCAGTCTCGAAAGAAGGAGCGAGAAGCCCCAGAGTCAAGTGTGAAAGTGAGGGAGGACGAGGGCGACGCAGTACCTGAGAGCGCAGTCTCACCAGCACCTGAGAGCGCAGTCTCACTAGTACCTGAGAGCGCAGACGCACTGGCACCTAGAGCAGCAGCCTCACAAGTACCTAGTGCAGCAGTACCAATGCCCGGGTCGGGCTGGAAACACCGGTAACCCTCATACTCCTCACTATAAGTCACAGCATACATAGCAGAAAGGATAGCATCAAAATCAAGATCAAAGATCGCTACACCAGCCCTAAGGAGCTCATCCCAGCGAGGGATCTCACTAGCCCCGGGGAACTGCTGACGCCAAGCGTCCGTCAGGCGGCCAAAGCAGCGCTGGGTGGAGTGGGCACCCCCACACTGCTCACCCGCGCGGTCGCCGGAACGAAGAACGTAGGCGCAGGGACCAGTACCCCCACCCCTCTGACGCGCAGCGTACCACTCACGAAGCTGCTGAGGCGGAGGGATGTCCCGCGAACGCTGCTGCTGCTGCCGCTGCGAGCGCTGGCCACCACCACCACCGCTCCGCTGCTGGGTACCACCACGACCAGCTCCACCTCCTCCACCACCACCGCCTCCTCCGCCGCCGCCTCCACCGCCTCCACCTCCACCGCCTCCACCTCCACCGCCTCCACTCCCGCTGCTGCCTCCACCACCACCGGTGCCACCACCACCACCGTTTCCGCCGCTGCTGCCACCACCACCACCACCACTACCACTACTCCCGCCGCCACCCCCACTTCCTCCGCCGCCCCCGCCGCCACCGCCACCGCCCCCTCCAGCTCCGCCCGCGCCCTTGCCCCCCTTGCCCTTGCCAGAGCGACGTCTCCCACTAGGGGCAGACGCCGCGCCGACCGACTCAAGACCAAGCAGGTCGGCCGCAGCAGCAGAGGCAACAGAGGGCAGCAAGGGGGAAGGAGAGCACCCCTCAAAGATGGGGGGTGCGAGGGTCACCACGAGAGGCACCAACAGCGACTATGCTCTTCTCCGCTGCGAGGAGGGCCTTCTCGAGGAGGTCGACGATGAGAGTGGTGGGACAGACTGCGAGAAAGTGGTCCCTGACTACGCGGAGGGAGTCAGGGAGGCGCGCGACTACGTAGTAGAGAGTGATGTACATGGGGGGGGGGTTCTTAGCGCAGAACTCAGCAGGAAGGGCGGCGCGGTAGCGAGTGTCACTAGTGCGGAGGTGCGTAATGAGGTCAGCGACAGTGGGAAAGGCAGAGAGGTCAGGAAAGAGGTAGGGAAGCATGAGACGGCTCAGTGCAGCAGTGGCAGGAGAGGAGTAGCGCGCAACTACAGCGTCGTACAAGGTCTGAGCACTCTTGTACTGACTAAAATGCGCACGCTCAGAGGTAGGGAGGTGGCGACGCACAGCAAGACGTGCAGCAGCATCGCGGGTGGCCCACTGAGAGCGGACAGTGGGATCAGCATCGGCAGCAGGAGCAGGAGAGGCGCCAGAGGTGAGGTCAAAGAGAGAAAGGCTGTCAGCTCTGTCGCACTGTAAGAAAAGCTGCAGGTCATCTAGCCAGACCTCAAAATCAATGGCGCGACCCTCGGCGTCAAAGGCTAGGACACTAGGGGTGGCCATGATGACGACAGCGAAGCAGTGCAAGCAGTAGGGAAAGAGGGCGCAGTGACAGAGGGACTGTGCTCACCAGGCAGGGCAGGCCGTGCAGCTCGACAGAAAAGCAGAGCGGCGACCGGGCGGCTCGGGTGTACAGCTGCTCAGCTCCCGGGCGGCTCGGCGGCAGGGCGGCTCGGGTGCAGGGCGGCTCGGCTCCCGGGCGGCTCGGCGACGGACGGCTCGGGTGCAGGGCGACTCGGCTCCCGGGCGGCTCGGCGACTGGGCGGCTCGGCTGCCCGGCCGCCCGACTGCTGCAGGGGAGGCGGCGGGGTCGCGTGAGAGAACCGGGGCGGGGCCGAGAAGGGGGGGCCGGCGGTAGGGCCGCGTAGGAGCCGGGGCAGGGCCGCGTTGGAGCCGGCGCGGGGCCGAGAAGGAGCCGGCGGCGGGGCCGCGTAGGAGCCGGGGCAGGGCCGCGTAGGAGGCCGGCGCGGGGCCGCGTAAGGGGGCCGGCGGCGGGGCCGTGTAAGGGGCCGGCGCGGGGCCGCGTAAGGGGCCGGCGGCGGGGCCGCGTAAGGGGCCGGCGCGGGGCCGCGTAAGGGGCCGGCGGCGGGGCCGCGTAAGGGGCCGGCGGACAGGGCCGCGTAGGAGCCGGGGCGGGGCCGAGTAGGAGCCGGGGACGGGGCCGCGTAAGGGGCTGGCGCGGGGCCGCGAAAGGGGCCGGCGGCGGAGCCGCGTAAGGGGCCGGCGGACAGGGCCGCGTAGGAGCCGGGGCGGGGCCGCGTAGGAGCCGGCGCGGGGCCGCTTAGGAGCCGGCGCGGGGCCGCGTAAGGGCCGCGTAAGGGGCCGGCGCGGGGCCGCGTAAGGAGCAGGCGGCGGGGCCGCGTAAGGGTCAGGGCGGGGCCGCGACAGAGTGGGCGGCGAGGCCGCAGGGGAGAGGGCGACTCGAGGGGTCGCTAAAAAAAAACCGCGCCTCGGGGCGCGCTTCGGTGGGCCCAAAAAAATCGGTCCTGGAGGGACCTAGCTCTATACCATGTGAAACAATGAGAAGAGGAATGAAATGACTAAGTCAGCAATTGGTACAAATAGCAAACCCTAGGAATCTGTACCCCATATGTGCTACCCCACTATAGCCTACAAACATGTATCAGCTATAATGTTCTGACATTTCCCTCTCTCTACCTGCCATTCCTCCTTTGCCGCTTACTTTCTCAGGCGCCGTATTCTGCCATTCTCGCTCGATACCCCAACGTCCGTCTCTCTGCCCCTCCTACCCTCTCTCGACCCCGCATTCCCTATCTCTGCCCCGCCCTCCCTAACTCTCTCTGCCCCACTGTCCCCCTCCATTCCCCTCCTTACCTCTCTCCGTCCCTAGTTCCCACTTCACTCGCCGCATGCTCTCACTCTGGCTCGCAATCACTTCTCTCTGCACCTCCTACCTTGTCTCTGCCCCGTAGTCGTTTATAGCTGCCCCCCTTCCATCCACCTCCCCGTCCTCCCCTCAGTCAGCCACAACATACGTCTCTCTGACCATCTTCCCCACTCTCTGCCCCAATATCCCTCTCTCTTAGTGCAACCTTCCCTCTCGCTGCCCCTCTTCCCCTCTCTATCCCTCTGGTTCCCCCTCGATGCCCCTTTCCCTTGCACGTATGACTCTCGCCCCACCGGGGGAAAAGGGAAACTTACTCGAGAAGTATTTTTCGCTCTGACGGTTTCAACTTCTTCACGAGGCACCTCATTGCATGAAGCCAAAGCCCTGCCTCGATGATGTGCATGATGTCAGGTGTTTGGGCGAGGTACGTGTTGCCCCACTTGGTTTTGGAGAACTCCCAATCCCACAGCAATGACTGACCGCAAGGGGAGGCACGCGGAACGGAAAAGAGGGCGCCTTGGGGATTTGGATGAAGAATAGGGAGAAGAACGACCAGGGTGGGATTGTGTGCCAGGAACTAGGATGGGCGGGGTATGGGGAGGGTATGTGTGTGAGCTGGACGGACAGCAAGGACAGGGTTTAGGGGTTTAGGGATTTGATGAACGAGGGCGGGATCATGTGAGCTGTGGGAGCGTGCCTGTCCAAGGGTGGAACATGGCGAGGTGTCCACCTCCAACACAAGGAGGAGGTGGCGACAAATGTTGAGGTGGAGGCATGGGGGTGTTGAGCGTGGGGTTGACAAATGGGCAATGCGGACGGGATAATTTATTTTAGACCCAAGTGCGGTGGGAGGATATAGGGGTGGGACTTTGGGACCACGGAGCCTAATCAACTTAAGCGGACAAGAAGTGATACCTTCACAAAGTGGGTTGAATACTTCTTCTTCAGACGGGTCAAGTCCTTCATGGTTTCTGCTTCCTCCATTAGCTTGTACACGGCTTTCTGATCTTTCACGGTTCGAGGAACGCTCTCGTCATCCACGTCCCGAAGATTGTCTCTCGTAACCATGCAGATGGAGCACGGTCGGTACGAGCTACATGACATGGTGCACGAGACCTTGTTAGACTCGGGATGGTCGTTCACGACTGAGTACAGCAGCGGGATGGCCACGTACTCAACCCCATTGCTGTCCTCGACCTTCAAGCCCCCACTGCGCAACCAAACATGGAAGCATGCCATGAATGGTGGTTATCGGCGAGGAAAACAGCGGGTAACAGGATGGAAGCAATGTTGCAGGGGGGAGTGCGTTACAGGAACGAAATGAGTGGGAAATGGATGAGTGAATACTAACCAAACACATCACGAGTGGCCGCAAGTCAATTATGCACACCATCACAAAATACATGGCAAGGACATGTCACAAAGGTAGGATGCACACTACGAGATGTTCATACGAATGATGGTGATGAGTTTAAGGGCTGCGTACCCCTGGAGCTTGGACAGGCGTTTCAGAGGCTGTATCATGTATTCCGCCGCCAGCTGAAACACCCTAATCTTCTCCTCCGGCTTCAGGTCGGAGGGGATGTTAGGGAACAGGCCCACAAGCTCAGTGCCGCCGTCCAACCAACGCGCCCATTCCGGTGTGTTACCGAACGACAGTACGTAAGGGTGTGCCGATTGTCGGCCGTTGTTGGACAAGTTCGTTTGGTCCGAATAGAGAATGATCGCCAAGACGATTGCACCGATTTTACGGACGCGGTCCTGTCAAGTGTGCGATGATGTAATATGGTTAGGTGAAAGAGGGCGAAGGGGGAATAGCACGGTCACAAGAAAGGGGGTACAGAGCGGGGATAAAAGTGTATGTCAAGGGTTACAAAACGATTAAAGGGAGGCGAGCAAAGGCCGTTGGGCAGAACACACAAGAACGGCCGTTTTGAGCAACACTGAGAGAAGCTCAGTGGTTCAAAACGCGGAGATTCGGGAGCTTTCGAATTAAGAATAGAGAGGAAAGGGCGGGTGAACAGACTGTAAAGGTCGGGATATCAGAGAGCAATGGGCGAGAGAGCATAGAGAAAGGGGCGGGAGAGCAGAGAGCCCTGGGCGGTAGAGATAGCAGCAACAACCGGGAGGGCATTGAGCAACGGGCGTGAGTGACCAATGACAAAGGACATCGAGCTTTGGATGATCACTAACCCAGGCCTTCAGCATCCAGTCCGTGTTGCCGGGAGTGCTGTAGCGTCTTTCACCCTCCACCTTCCACTCCTTCGGCTCGATGATGAATCCGCGTACAGCGGACATCTTTTTTAACATCGCTTGCGCCAACTGCAGAGTGGGGTGGGGGTTGTTGTATTGGTGAGTAGTGGACGCAGCCATTTGATGAGTGGTTGACTAAGGTTAGTAACTCTTGAGGGGCGCAGCAGGGATACCCACGACCGTGTTACGCAGGTAGTAACACACACAAAGCGCACGTTGTAAGGCGTGAGACGCACCACGTTAATATCGCGGAACCTGAAGGAGAGGTATCCCACTTCATGATCCACCTTAATCTCCGCCACATGCCAAGACTGCTCCGGTCCCAGCTCGAAGCTGCTTTCGTACTTCTCAAGATCTCTGTAGGTTGTCCAGCCTTGTAACTGCTTGATATCAAGGTCTGGAATGCGGAACAGGTCTATGAGGTCAGTAATAGCCCCGTTCGTAAGGCCGTGCTTCCGTGACAGTATGCAAATCTCGGCCTTCAAGTCGATCGGATCTTCTTCATCATCAGATCCCACAACATCGGTGCCTTCGCAAGGCGCCGCAACGGCCTGTCTCACTTGTTCTGATGGCTCTGACGGGGCTACAACTATCTGCGCGGGTTCTGTCAAAGGCAGCTGGATATACGGTCGTGCAAGTAGTCCAGGGATCAAAAGTGCGCCAGAATTCGAACCTCCACCTAGCCTTTTGTGCTTGGGGTCCGACTGCTTGAGAACCAGCTTACGCTTCTGCTTGAGCTTGCACAATTCGACGCCATTGACCTGGTGGCTTCTAAGGGTTTGATAACAAACAGCAACGTATCCACATCCACACTTCTGGGCTTTCATCTTTCCTACTCAATAATGCAAGACAGCGGGCACAATAGCAACTCTGGCCATATAACCCATAACACACGTATCGCTCCATGGTTCCCCATTGTTGAATTCTGGATCGGAGTGTTTGGCGGGAAGAGCGCATCACTGTCGAGCAGTACTTAGCGTGGAAAATTAAGGTGGAAGGGCGTCTCACTGGCATGTCCCGGGGACTTAGCGAAACTTGCAGTGTGTTTTTGTGACGCGCTGCAGTTCCGAGTGCTCGTGTGACGTAGCCTAATTTCCAATGTGTTTGGGCGACTTCGGGGAATACACACGGTCTCCAGTGATTTAGACGAGTTTCTATTGTGCCCTTAGATTTTGCAGAATGTCCAGTGCGTACTAGATGCGCACTAGCTAAACTTCCCGGTTATTACACTGTCTCAATACACATTTCGAGTATATTTCCATATTCTTGTCCGCATTCCTCCGGTTCCAGTGCCCAAGCAAGATGCCAGAGACTTAGTCGAAATTCGAGAGCAACAAGAGCCCTAGCAGTGTTGGAATGTCCTATATGCGAAAACATTAGGGCAGACGCCACTCTCTTATAC